AGAGATTATACTTAGGGCTAGTGCTCTCTAAATGTTCAGTGATTCTGTCTCTGGGGCTGGAAACTGCCCTCATTCCGCAATCAGAAATCCCAATGCATCAAAACTGAGTACATGGATCAGTGTTACTTAAAAGCTTTTTGTTTGCTATTACAGGCATTTCTTCTATTGAGCTAAACTGGGGGGAAAAAAGTGAAATCTAATGGTTTTCAACCAGCACTTACAGATTTGCAAACGTGAAACTTTCAAGTTCTTTTTGCAGGCAGATGTTCCCCTTAAAGGTATGTGCTGCAGAGCCTTGAAAATAAGCATGATGATTTTGGTTGAGAATGTTTGGTTTACGGGTTAAATCCTTGTCCACGCATTCTCTTTTCTGCATGCAGAAACCTATTTTAGCATGTGTTTATAAAATGAGAAATCCTTCCTAAGCTCCAGAGAGCCAGAAGTATCTTCCCTTTTCAGAGCATGAAAGCAGCAGCATGCAGGCCTGCACACCAGCGCCCACCCCTGCGTGTAGAAACGCCACCTGCAAAGGGCTGTGAGCACCTTCTGTCTCAGACCCTGACTCTCCACCACGGCCACCTCTCAACTGGCAACCTGTCTGGGGAGGCTCTCGGGGGGGACTGGGTGCAGACCACCTGACAGCCATGGGACAGGAAGGCCTGAGCCAGGCCGTGCATGTGACCGAGCACAAAATGCGTTACAGCTCCCGCTAATCCCCTGAGCCTCCCAGTTGCTCACCACTCGCTGCTGCCCAGCTCATCCTCGCCAGAGTCAAGGTGAGGATTCCACGCACAGATTGAAATGAAGGGCTCTCCTGCATCGTGTGTCCACACGTGTCCTCCAATGGACACTCCAGCCTTCCTCAACAGAGCGTGCCTCAAATCCTTTTCTTCATTTGAGAGGACGTTTATGCAGGTATTGCTCAGAAACCAACAAGCCTCGCCCACGCTAGAGCCAGCTTGGAATGAATGCTGCTTGTTTTATGGACAACTTAAATTTTTCCACTTACAAGTTTTCTCAGGCTCTAGAATTCTGGGTTGAAATTCTTAACTTTGCAAAGATGACTTCTGCAAATATTGTATTTCCAGCAAAACTACATTTTTTTCTGTTCAAAACAAATGTGAACCTTGCTTGGTTTCTACTGAGTAAAAAGCACTGTGTAACTTACTATATTTCAAAAATTTGTAGACCAAGGTCAAAGAAGGGCTTTTAAGTTCAGGCTAACAACTGCTACCTATAATCATAATTTCATTTGATATGTGTACAAGTCCTGGGTTGTGGGGAGGAAAAGCTCTTCCAAAACCCTGAAAGCATCACAATAAGGATTCTACCTGCCAGAGCCCGATGACATAAGGTCTGTAAGAGGCACCCTTGACTGGGGACCCAAGGAGCAGCAATAAAGGATCTGGTATCATATTCTTCAAAAGGAAACAAATTCCATTTCATTCTGCACTGACCAGCTCCAGGAGCTGACTGTGCCCCAGACCTGTACTCTCTCATTCCGCTGCTCCTTCTTCATTGAGTTTGTCCAAAGCCATAACAGATATTGTCAGCAGAAAATGCCCTCCAGGAGCATAGAAAATGTAGAGGCAGATCCATATAATCAAAAGACCTATAGATTGTACAATATGCATTTAGCCCCTCTGTGTACATTACCATGCATATTCATTTTATTTTTCTGCTGTTACCACAAACAAGAACAACTAATGTCAGTGTCCAACCCAGTGAAGTTTAATCTCACATTCTACTTTTCATACACAAACAGAAATTAGATGGTCAAGGGAGAAAAAACAAACAATGACCAGACAAGTTCTTTAGCAGTATCTAAGCACTACTAAAAATGTAGATGTAAACACTGAGAAGAAAAACAGCATTTTTCAAGGCTGGTTGCAAATAGACTGTAGCTAATTTTGAAAAATTGCATCTAAAATTATATACCATATTAAATAAAGAAATACAAGGGCTCTGATAGTAATGACTGTCACACGACATGAAACTGACAACAAAGGTAAAGATTTACATTTTCTGGACAGTTTTTTTTTTTAATGCCAATTCACAAAGCAAGCATGGAGCATGAAAATCCTAAACCTTCAACAATCATTTTTAGTACACGATTAAGAGTCATGTTCTATTCATATACAATTACATAAATTAGATACGGAATTTTAAGGGACAATGTTGATGATTCTGTTAGCTGTTTTCATATTCTTGACTTACAGTATCTTGACTTTCTTATCTCCAAGGGGAAAAAAATTAATGAAATTTCATACCACAAAGTAATAAACTGTTTATATCATGGTTTTAAATTCCAGCTTTAAATTAAATGAGTTGAAGAGCAGGATACTCCAAACAAACCACACTCTAAATCTTTCTACATAGTCATAAAAAGTTTTACATCCCAAACAATCATCAACAAATTCATGGAATACAATGTCATGCTTAGAATATAGCAGGGAGAAAAAAAATGAAATTTTTTTGCAGTTCTTTGCAATAACAGATACAGACATGAGTTTCAGAAGAGTAACTCTGAATTATTCACATATATATGTGAATTATTCAATAAGAGGCCACATAAAGTAGACATGAGGAAGATTTCTTTTAGCTCTCTCACTGGGACTGCTCTTTATGTAGATAGGGAGATGATGCTGTTCAGCCCAACTCCCCTGCAACCTGTGGAGCAGCAGAAGAGGCAGCAGAGGAAAGGAAAGCTCCTAAAATGCAGAAAACTTCTTCAATCCTGCAGTAGGAGGAGCTACTTCTTCCAAAACTGCTTTTATATCAGGCCAAATAGAGTCAACACAGCATATATACGCATTCACAGCAGCCTCGGCAGCTTTTCCCAACTCACCAAGCAACAAAGTATGAGCTTGATAACAGCAAAGTTTCAGATAATTCCAGTTCCTTCAGTTAGCCTTTATACCCTGAATACTAGAAAAGTGTTTTGCAATAACTAGTTATAACTAACGTCCTTGCATACACAGAAATCCCTCCAATTCCCCATTTTATTGTATAAGGAATGCAGGATCAGCCCTTGAAATTCTTCTTTGCCAGAGTCTTGAAAATCCTTATAAGTGGAACAAATAGGATCTAAAAGGAGACATATATCTCCCCCTACCTGCAGAGCCCTTTATCCTCCTGCCCCAGGGAATGACATTCATGGAACTACTTCAGTCTCAAAGATGAAATAAACTGAAATCTTACAACCTGCCATAGCCATAGTACATCAAACTGTTGGGACTGGAAGTGTTTGAACCCCTCAACAAAGCCTATTACTAAACTGCCACATTTAGCCCAAGAGGTTTTAAAAACAATTTGCACATATCTTTCTATACTGGTTAAGAAATGACTGATCTGCTTTAACTGACTGTGTCCCAGTAGTGGACTATCTGACCAACAGCACCCATCAAGGAACCATGCATAGAAGTCTGCATACAAGCCTCTAACTTTTTACTCTCTCAAGGGAAGAAGCATGAGGTAATAACACGCAGATTTTTCTTTTTCGTCAAGATCCCTCAGAGCCTTTGTAGATTTGTCTCATTCCATGGAGGCAGAAATGCTAAATACACAACAAAACCAAAGCTTAAGTCTTCACTACTCACCCTTCCTTGAAAATTGACTTTTACTGCTGTAGGAAATAGTATCTTATTATCACAAATTCATTAGAGCTGTGTCATCATATCTGGCTAGCACCTCTCTAAGAAAGTTCAGGTTTGGTTTTGAATGAAAAAAAAAAAGCCTATAGAAAAGTAGTGCTGCCTGATAGAATTCCTGACACTTAAGGCTGACTTAAAAGCTTTTATTCCTTAACTTTAGCAATCACTCCTTCCATAGACAGGCCAAGCCCACTGTAAGAGTTTAACTTCCAACTGGAATGTGGAGGTTCATTTAGGCAGCCCAAACTACACAACAAACATTAATTTCTCATGCTCTAACTTTGTTCCTGGTTTCCCCTAAATGCTGGGCCCTCCACAGAGCTGGTGAATGTGCTGTGTGTTTAGGGGGGAGGGGACAGGAGAAAGGGGAAGACAGCTCACTGTACGTCAAAGCAAACCAGCAACCTAGCAACCATATATTAAAAGGTGTGTGTGTTTTTGTGGGTGTCTGTGTGCCAGGAATAACTGAAGCAGATATTATTCCATTTGTAATTCAAAAAATGTGAAAAGGGAAGGGGAGAAACTCCAGTTGCTGGTCTATTTTGGGGTCTGTCAAAATCCACTTTCACAATACAGAGTGGTAACACTTTGGATCTCATTTTTCGTAATCAAAAACGAAAGTCTGGACTTGAGCAAGTTCTTAGCTTTGGTTTGAAAATAGACCCTTCAAAGCAGAAACTGAACTTATTTTATATACTATGCTTTCTTCCAGCTGGAAATAAGCAAAAACTAAAGGGGCAGAAAGGCTGCCTCAAAGACTTCACACTTGGGTTAAGAGAATACTTACAAATGTACAGAATACTTCCAGATAGATACACTTAATTTAACAAACAGAAATGTCAAAGATTCCCAGGGAATGGAACTTGCTTTATAAAGATTCACTTGAGTGAGAAATTGACCCTTTCAATTCTGCCAAAGTTTCTCATTCCACAAGGCAACTGAGAGTTTGGATCAGGATACGCAAGCTCCCACCCCATCGCATGCGGCCCCAAGGGTGCACATAAACTTCTGATCTGCCCCGTCCCACTTCACAGCATGCGCCCCTCGGGCAGGGCGAGTGTCGCACAGCAGGTGTAACTTTCGTGCCACCAGAGGAAAACGAGAAGGGGGAGCGGGGAGGCGCCTCGGGACTGCACCCACCACCTCAGCCTCCAGCTACACTGCCCACGCTGCAGCTCCCAGCAGCCCTAAGGCAAGAGCAGCCAGCACGGTGCCATCAGCAGCCCTAAGCCACCTCGCCCAGGTGTCCTGCTCTACGAGGCTGGGCTCCTGCTCCTCCTCAGCACCACCACCGCACCGAACCACCACCGGCAGAAAGAGGGGAAGGGAAGGGAAAGGGGGAGTTACCTTGTTTTTGACCCCGCAGTGGCAGCAGACAGTCCACAGGTACTTGAGGGTCCTCCACAGCAGGATGATAAACAGTCCCCCAAAGAAAGTAACCATGGATGAGGCGAGGAAAGCCCACCACATGCGCTGTCCGCGGCTATCGCAGGGCACCTCCATGGTCACCGGGATGATGAGCGCATCCATCTTGGGCACATTGACGGGGGAGGAGGACGAGTCTGTGTTGAGATTGTTGGCGTTGATATTGTTACTCATTCTAATGCCGCTGCCGCTGCCGCCCGGGTAGGAGCCGCCGCCGCTGCCATTTGCCATAGCTAACAGCGAGCCGGGCGCGCAGGGGCTTCCGAGAGCTCCTCCCGCCGCCAGCGCCCCCCAAAAAGCCCATCACCAGCCATATTGCTGCTGCTGCCGCCGCTGCTCAGCGGGGAACCATAAGGAGAGTAATAAAAATTAAAAAAGCCCCCAGTCAAAACAAACAAACAACCAAACCAACCAACGAAACAAAAAAAAAAAAAAAACCAAACAAACAAAAAAAAAAAAAGCAGGTGAAGAAAAGCGACCGCACAATTCCCGGGTCCCTCTCGGGAGCCGACAGGCCGGTGAATTCCGAGCGTCCTCTTTGTACGGCGAAAATAATATTAAAAAAAAATTAAAATAATAATAAAAATATAGTCTCCTCCTCAGATTCCCACCCCTTCCTTCTCCCGCATACACAGCCCCTACCCCGCCCACCCCCAAAAAAAATCATCCACCACCACCACAAACTGATGCCTCTGAGCGTCTCTCCGAGATACCCAGCGCTGCGACCCCGCTGGCCTCAGCGGGGATCCCTCACTCAGCCTCCGCCGCGGATCCTCCCAGAGGTGGTCTCTTATTATTGTTATTAGTCTTTAACTTGTTATCAGCGATACTCAGTCACCCCCTCCCCGCGCACCCTCCTCCTCCTCCTCCTCTTTCAAGTCCAGCCCCTTCCTCTCTTCTTCCCCCCTCGGTGCCAGCAGCAGCCTCCTGTGGCTCCTAATTCATCCTCCGCTGGCCCATCTGTGCGTGCGCTGCCGCTGCCGCCGCCTCCTCGCCCATCCTTCGGGAGCTCCCTCCAGGGCCCGGCTGTCGCTCAGGCTGTTGCTCCCACACGCGCAGCGGCGCCGCCGGCGCCCGCCCCTCCCTCTGTGCCGCCGGGGGACGCGACGGCCCCGCGCCCGCAGCCGCGGCCGCTCCGGGAGCGCATCAAAGGCCCCGCGGGCCGGGGGTGCCGGGCAGGCCGGGGGTGCCGCGCTGCCGCTGCCGCCGGGGTGGGGGCGCCGGCTCAGGCGGGCTCCCGGCGCCCCATGGGCAGCGCTCCCCGCTCCGCGCCCGCTCGGTCCAGCTCGCGGCGCCGCCGAAGCGCCGAGCGCCCGCTCCGGAGGGGACGGCGAGCCGGGAGCGGGGGCTGTGTGCCGAGACGGGCGCTTCACAGGTGGCGGCGAGGCGGTGTCCGGCCGCGCCGGGGAGCTGCCGGTCCAACAAGTCCCGCCGGCCCTGGCGCGTCCATCGCCGCCGCGCCGCGCTCTCCGCAGCCGCGGTGGGGCGGGGGCAGGCGGCAGCGGCCCCCCCGCGCCGGCCGTGCGCGGGGCCGGTTCGGAGGATGTCATGACGCAGCGGCCAACGCACGGCGCAGTCACGGCCCCGGCCCCCGCAGCCCCGCCGGGCCCCCGCGCCCATCGCCCGCATCCCTCGCCCGCCGCGCAGCGCGGCACCGCGGAGAGCGCGGCCCCTCCGCAGGGGCGCCCTCGGGGGCGGCGGGCCCGGGGCTGCAGCCGGGGGGCAGCGGGGGAAGGAGGGAGGGAGGGAGCGGGGCGCGCTCGGGGCTCGCAGGAGGCGGTTGAGCTGCAGCAGCAGGTGCCCGGGGATGCGCACGGCGCGGGAGGGGGGAGCTGGCATGGAAACGCGCTAAGGGAGCGTGAAATAAACATCGGGGACCGCGGCGTGGGTTTTTCCGCTGAAGGCATTCGTGGCTTGTCTTTAATTGACACGGGCAAGTACCGCAAATGCTCTGCAAACACGCCGTAAATTGCCGCACATCCCAAGAACATTCCTGAATTTAACCCTTAGGAATGTAAATAGCAATTTTAAATGACACCTTTGGGGAGGATGGGGGTGAAAGGGAAAGCCAGCAAGGAAATCTGGATAGTCATCTCCTACTTTTTTTTCGGATTCACATTGAAAAGCAGAGAAATTCATATGTCTATATGTGTATTTATTTATACATAAATCAAAATCTCTGTTTGGCACATGGTCTGCTCACTGGGTTGTCTGTACAAAGTATTATGCAGATCCTCTTGACATCTTTCCAAGGGTAAAATACAGCAGGCTTTGTGTGCGTGACATTCCCCCATCTTATCTAGTTGCTATACCAGCAGAGAACCACCATTATGAAATAGTAATCTCTTAACCTTTAGTAGTAGTAGTGTCTGTTTCTGCATCTGCCAGGGGCTTGTTTGTTTCTGTTTTCTACTTAAGTGAAGGTAATGAGATTTTATGAGTTCCCAAAGCTTTTTATGGGGCTCTCTAACCCTTTCACCCCCACTTTTTTCAGGCAATAACACTACTGTTTGCCTGAGTTCATCATGATGTCTCTTTCCAGTCTGTTCCTTCAAGAAAAGGCTTCCTTTTCCCAGAAGGGTTTAATAGGGGCCTCTGAATAGAGAAGGCATTTGATAATGATACGGAAGTGTATACAGGTAAGAGAAATGCCACATTACTTTTTCCCAGAGAAAAACATTCAGTTACAAAGCAGACGTGAAGCAGGCCATTCGCAGGAAACTATTTGGTTGAGAATTTCTAGATGTAGAAAACTAGCCAGATTGAAAAGAAACTGCCTGTCACAGCTGCCACATGCAAGCCCAGACTGCACTGCCACAGCTGCTGCTCCCTCCCATGGCTTTTCTTTACCAACCCTCCCCACAGCTAGAGAGCCACCTGGACTGCAAAGTGTTGCCATGACAGGATCGCACAACCTTGGGTCCTGGGCTCAGAACCTGGTCCTCATGGTCATTGCTCGGCAATCCTGTGAGGAACACCCTTTTCACAGCTGCACACACGCCTAGGGATCCTTTTATCCATCAGCAAACACCAGGAGTGGAACAAGGGCAGGAGCATCGTAACACAGGCACTTGATGTCTGATCTTCAGAAGTGCCGGGTACTTACAGGCACTTTTACAGCTAATAGAAACTACAACCCTGTGCACCTTGAAAGATGAGGACAATGAAGAGCAGCCGCACAGCATATCCCAGGGAAGGCTTTTGCATCGTGGAATTTCTTCCATACTCTGGTCTGGCAGATAACAAGAGCTGAGTCTCTGAAGCCATGGCTGTGGCACACATCCCCTCTTGCTTTGTTTGAGAGGGCCCAGAAGATTTGACAGATAGGCTGGAGTCTGAAAATCCATTTTCTTGCTTTATACATTCAGAAGTTATGAGTTAAAAAGTATTTATTGGACTCAACCCTGCTGCAGCTGAGCACTCCAGATCAAACAGGATCATTAGGCACCTCTAAAATATCATTCCCGTAAATACTGTACCCCCACATAGCCAAGATGGTCCTAAAGATTCTGACTAAAGCAAAGCAAGTGCACCACAAAATGTGGTCTATATGTTCAAATAATTTGATTCAAACACGTTCACACAGAGTTTACTTGTAGATTTGGACAAGGATAGGAGATTTATTGTTATCACTTGTTAAAGGCTGCTTTTAAGTTCTGGTGCTCAAAAACTATTTGTAAACCAACCAACACATACAGTAGGAGTCCTAGTATATAAATTTCACTCTATACATCCAGGGGAAAACCTTTTGTTTTATCCATATAAACAAAACTTTTATTTACATAAATATGGCTCAGTTCTACAAATATTTACCGTGAAACTCACACTGCAAAGTAAATATTGATATCAATTGGTGAGACTTACCTTACCAGTTGAAAGTTTCCTTACTAGGAAATATCTGCAAAAGACAAAGCCAAGTAGGTAACTTTGAATTTTGTTCACCTATTCATAGTCAGAGGTAAAAATGATCCTTAAATGAATATCCCTTCCATTAGATCCCATTTGAGCTTGCTCCTTTATGAATAAAGAAAGGCCAGCTTTCCACTGCAGGCTCTGTAAAGCAGAGTTTGAGAAAGCCCCCTGGGGCTGTATGCTTCATTTACTGAGGCAACAATTCCATTTCATGTTGCCTTCAGACTAAACAAGATTTTCAAGCTCTGCATCCTGGAGAGATCTATTCCAAACAAACAGAAAACTTCAATGGATTTGTTTTCAGATTAGTTGTCTATTTAATATTTCAACTCAAGAGCTCAAGATTTACTTTGTTAACAGTACTATTTACAGAACAAAACAAACGCTGTGCTGACCTGTGTTTTTCCTCTTCTTACCATGTAGCATAGTCCAGGACACAATCATGCCTACTCAATGTAGTTCAGGAGGATTTGGTTCCAGAAAGCAGTGTTTTAGCAGCAAGGGAATGACTCCTCTTTATGTAAAACAGTTCCCTCTTGTGGATATTCTGTGCAGAGTATCACAGAAGTATTTAAAATATTCATCAGTCCTGGATCTTTGCAATTAAAACCCCCAGCTCTGTTCATCAATTTCCCAAACCCCTTGGCATTCTTGATTTTAGCAATTAAATATGTGAGGAAGAACAAGCTATTGCATTTAATCATAATACAACTTGCCCAATTCCACATTATCAATAACAAATTATTTAATAAAGTGCAATAAACATAACAAGCTAAATAAAGTTGCATAACTGTACCTATATGAGTCAAGTGCAAATCACAGTGGGGCTTTTTATTTTGCTTATATGAGGAAACTTTCCACACATTCCATTAAGAGAAACCATGATTAAAAAACAAGGAAAAGATACACTATTTAAAGAAAAGAGGCAGTAATGGCAAAGCAGTCAGGGTTTCCAAGGATCCATGGACTAAGTACAGAAGACAAAGAAACTCTGGAATGATAAATCTTTCAGTTAAAACTAGAGTCCAGGCAAGTGGCACAGCTTCACTGGTGACACAATATTGCACCAGGGATTAATTTGGCATGGCAGTTAGGGAAAAAAAAAACAACGCATGAATGGAGTAACAGTGTGAAGATTTATGTGTTCTCTAAATGATGACTACATTATACAAACAATACATTTCTTCTTAAGAAGAATAATGTGAGAGAATAAATGTGTACTCCCCAGTTCTTCCTAATGGCATATATGGTCTCACTGAATCCAGGTAAATGACAGAAAACATTTGCATGTTATTAACCTGAGGGAAATTATATTAAAA